TTTAATAAATATTATATAAAATATATACATGTATTATTTAAATATTATAACTAAAATATATAGTTGTATTTATTTAAATACTATAACTAAACGATATAGTTGTATTTATCTAAATGTTATTTAAATATTAATTAATATTATTTAAATAATAACACTATTCGTATCGGGTCCACATGAACTTGGACCCAGACCCAACCTGCCAAGTCCAATTTTTTTACTCATACCGGACCCGGCCTACTTCACACTCTTTTCTACCTGATTTTTGAGGTCCACCTTACTTCGAAGGTTATGGTATAAGGAAGGTTGCAAACTTATATAATTTTTTTACCAAATATAATAAGCTGCCCACTTTTTCTTTAAAAGGTATCACATAATAAAGAAAAAAAGAAAAGAAAAAGAAAAACATGTCATCTCAAAGCACTATCAATCAGTTTTTAAAAGTTTCTCTTTACATTTTTTTTTACTCCATATTGAAGTCCTACGATCAAAGAAACAATATTGGCATTATGGGTATTTCTCGCTGCCTCAAATACGACCATAATCATCTATATATCTCTAAGCAGTAGACATTACCCTTGCCTCAATCAGGTTGGAGGAGCAACTATTTAATCTCTTCACATTGTGCATAAAGAAATATATTGGCTCTCACTTGCCTGCATTTAACGGCAATAGAGCTTTACACCTCTGATATTGAATTCCATTTACACAATGGGTTCCTCTCCAAACTAACATTATATATAACTGCCAAATAGCACTTAACCAGAAATTTTTACTAAATGGGTCATCTCCCCATGCTTGAAATACCATATAGAACTTCCATGAAGTTATCAAATTGTATCTCTCCTTCAGTCATAAAACTATAGTGAATAAGGATTATTGGCTTAATGGGTCACTTCCCTTCATAAAATATCATCCTAAAATTGTCATATATCAGTGTGGTAGGCCAAGCAATATTGGCCTTAATGGGTCACTTCCCAATACCTCAAATGCTATAAAGAATTGCCCTAGCTGATAGTGAACAAGAATTATGGCTTGGATAGTGGGCCATTTCTGGTTCCTATAAATATCATCACAAAACTGCCATATATTATTCAAAGTGAACCAAGTAATATTTTCAGCTAAATGGGTCTCCAGCCTCAAATATCATCATAAAACTGTCATATCTATAATAGCATTCTAGCCGCAAGTGTATATATTGTTCTTGAGGCCAAGTAAAACTATATAGTAGGTCTCCAAAGCACACAATTATTCGTATATGTTAGCATAGTCTTTACATCCTTGATATGAGCAAGGGAACAGATATTGCATCGGCTTCCTCTGCCATCACAGGCTGAAACAGGTCTAGCTCTCCATACCTTTCTTTAACACGCATAAGGCAATCTTCAGCGGCCATTAATCCAGTAGAGAAAGCACCATGAACGGTGCCGGGATAGCTCATGCTTGTTGCTTCACCTGCGAAGAAGAGATTGTCCACAGGGATGCGGAGGCGCTCATAGAGGTCATGAGGCTTTCCTACTGCGTCGTAGCTGTAGGAACCTAGGGAGTTAACATCTGTGCCCCAATGAGATACTAGGTATTGAATCTGAAGAAGGCACACGAGATTGTTATTTTTTCATGGAGAAACTTTTGAGTCGAAGTGCTTGACTCGAAGAAATAGATTGACTGCTTGATAGACAAATGGGTGGAGAAAGATAGAGAGAGAGAGAGAGAGAGAGAGAGAGACAAAGAGAGATGAAGCACAAAAGCAAATATCATTTGTGCATGTGTGCATAAGAGAGAGAACGAGATATCGCACAAAATGAGTGTACACATCGTCAGCAAATGTATATACTACACACGAAACACAGCACGCTGTGATGTGATAATTACAAGTAAGGTTCACAAAAAATAAGAAAGATCTGCTAGGGTCTATGGTGATATAAGCTAATATATTGCAGCTGATACACCTTCAAAAGACAGATCATAGTGCCCAGTATATCCAATTTTGTGATCATTTATTGAAACCTTGTGTACAAGTTCATAGAAAGCCACTTGCACAAAGAGTGCTATGCCACTTGCACAAAGAGTGCTGTGAGATCCCACACATGTGACCTCGATGTGAACGATTCTCTCTCTCACACACACACGCGCTCAACGCATGCACTTACAGGCACACATATACACACTGTCAAGAAATATGAGCCAAAAGTTTCTGAGAAGAACTCCAATTGCTAAACTCTCTCTCTGAAGTTTCAATATCACGTTTTCCTATAAGTCCTGTAATTTTGTAAGCACCAACAAATTTTCAAAAAATAACTACAGCGCTTTACAAATTTTACCACAAATATGCCAGGACGATATCACTTTTAAGGTATTGCCTCTTTTTGGTTAAAACACTAAATTTGTGAGTGAGAAACTTGTGTACAGAATTTCGCATTCAACAACAGAATGAAGAATATGGATGACTAAATTACTCTTGTGAGGAAGTGTCCAATCAAGGACAAGAAATAAAATGACAGAAGACAAATAACCTTTACACAATTTACCATGGATACACACAAATAATCAATATACAATATCTACACACACACTCACACAGACACCCACACACACACCCACATACATGAACTCCTACACTAAAACTCAATATGACAAGTAGAGATGAAGGGGAGGGTTTGACTATTGAAAGCTCATGCCAGCCACTGGCCAATGAGAGGTATGTAGCCTTCTGAGAAGTGAAAATAAAATCTAATATACAACACCTGCACACAGAACACTATTAATTGTGTGTACAACCAAGAACAACCAATACAGCAATAGAAGACATAATACCCATTATCATGAACTTGTACATACATAGGATACATGACACTGCCTTTCAAACTGACCCTGAAAGGAAGACACTAAGAAAGGAAAGTTTGATTATACCTAAACACATGCCAATTGTTAGTCTGAGATGACCAAAAATGTCTACTAAGTAAAATGTATATAAGATAAACAGCACCAAAAAGAACTGCTCTCAGTAAAGCAATATCCATACTCAATGTGCTTCATTTGCAGAAGATGTACATCCTCCAACCTTTTTTATCTTTCAAAATGGTATGAATTTAATCCTCCTCATTTTTTAAAGTCCAGAAAACAGAATAGAAAACCCAAACAGAAAATCGATATGTCAATGAGTGTGTGCATGGTAAATGCAGCTACATAATACAAATATACATGCAACTTTCATACAATTAGGAGGATGTTATCCGTTTAGCGCTAAAAATAGGCCTCAGCACAAAAGAATTGATATCAGAAAGTATTAAAATGCAAAAAGAACAGGAAGGTGAAGAGATTGGATCAATAGTAAATGATAAAACTAGGGGGAAAAAAAGGAATATATAAAGCTAGACTTACAGGATCAGATGCATTGGGCAAAATTCTCTTCAGTTGTAAAACAGCAAAGTTAGCAGCAGCTTCATCAGACATCTTCTCAATGTCATGAGCCAGCCGACCAGCAGGCATGTATACAAGGACAGGGTGACCAGTTGCCTTGTGAAGATTTAGAAAGTAGCTGCACTCATAAGTGGTTGGAGCAACCACTCCCAAGAATTCTACGTTGGGCCAAAAGACCTTATCAAAGTGTAATGCAATTTTGTTTTCATTACCAAATCCAAGATCTGATATCGCCGCTTCTTTCCACTCTGGTAGTCTTGGCTCAAACTTTATGGAATTGGCTTTCAGTACCCCAAGGGGTACTGCTACAACAGCTGCATCAGCTATGAAGGTTTTACCATTCTCGACAGTGACTCTTACTCCATGGTAATGACGAGAGATTTTTATAACCCTGTTTTCCAAATGAGAACAAAATAAGGCAATCCTGGAAATTCCTTGACCAACCAATGAACAATAAAATAGCTGTCCTCTACATAAATGTGCGCAATCGAGCCAATGCACACATTGTGTGTATAGGAGAGAGAGTGTGAAGGTGCTAGAGAAAGAGAGAGTTGCTAGCATGTGCATTGCATGAAAACATGAAAATATATAATTTAAAAAATGCTAAAAATATCGTGGGATGGATAAACAGCTGTAAATAAAAGAATGGGATAAAGTTACTTTCAACAAGGGAAAGAAAAAGAAAGGAGAAACAAATAGTATGATTCAATGGACTAGGAGAAAAATCATAGCATATTGGATAGTCACTGTCCATTAAAATAAGGGAAGGCAATGGAGCGAAAGTGACACTTACCAGTTGGCTTGGCCTCAATAGTGGGTACCACCATATCTCTATCAGTGACCATCTTTTCATTGGACAGTGATGACTCAATAGACTATGGGCTTTCTGTAGCCCATTTGATTACTTTCCCAAATGAAAATGTCCACAAGAATCCAGTTACTTGCTATAAAGGGATATACTAATTACTAGAAAGAAATTAAGGCATGTTTTTCACTTGCAAAGAGTGGGGTGCTTTGGTGATGCCTTACGAAATACGAGGAAATTAAAAGCCAAAGATAAAATGGTAATTTAAACGAAACAGAGGCTATACAAATGTGCACATGAAAATAGAGTAATTCAACTGACTTATTATAATTTACATACCTGTGGCCAAAGCGAATATCTATGCCTTTAGCAAGGGTATTTATAACTGAACAATAACCACGGACCATTAGACCATGGCCCCCAGCAAGCAATTCTTCCTGTGCCATGAATTAAAGAAACAATTTTACTCAGATATCATTACATGAACCATTCAATTATACTTACAAATTGCATGAAATGTGTATCATTTGGAATATGAACTTTCTTACCTGATCCCAGCTTTTCAATGATAGGTTATCAGCATCTGTAGCAAACCAACCTTCCATTCTGCATAAGTACCATTGCAATACCTTATGCGCAAGTCCTTCTTGTCTGGAAACCAAAGGCATAGCATGTCTAATCAAAATAGACAATAAGCTCAGAAAGAGCTAGCAATGACAATAGCTACATAGAATCAGTGTACAATCTGTATGTGTGCATGTGAATGACCTATTCTTATCAAACCTTAGATCTGGACGTCTTTCCAAAACGATTGAAAATGCCTGCTGTACGGACATGTCTTCACTGTTTTCCTCCCTTACTTTTATTGTCTGTAATCATCAAGAAGAGCAAAAGTGAGATTAATCTCGAGAAGAAACAAATTTTTAAAATTTACAGATACTATATAAGAAATCTTGGCTAGGCATGGAAAAAAGGAAAAGAATCATGCCTCCTTTAGGATGCTCTCGAATAACTTGCCGACCTCCGTGACTAGTTCTTGAGGGACTTGATGCCCATCCATGTCAAAAAGTGCATAGCTGAAAAAGTAAAACAGTGAAGGTGTAAACCATATGAAGAGTTACCCAAAATCCCCTAAGTACAAACCCATATTATTCTCTATATAACCTTCATCATTCAGCAATTGTATTGTAAACATCACGCCATATGCTTACCAAGATTCAAGGTAAAAGTTGTCCAAAAGATAAAACATAGCAGCTCTAATTTGGGTTTTCTTTTTTGAAATTGAAGTTACTCGAGGATCTTCCCCAAACTGGTACTCTATAGAAATTATAGAGAGGAACAACCATCATCATCAAAACCTTTTCTCAACTAATTGGGGTTTACTACACGAATCCTGGTCTGCCATTCTACTGTATTAAGGGTATCCTTAGTGAGGCTGTAAGTCCACATGTCTTTTCTCACTACTTCCAACCATGTCCTTTTGGCCTACCCCTTGCCCTTTTTGAGCCTTCCACTTGAACTGACTCGTACCTCCTAACAAGTGTTGTACTGGGTCTGTACCACACATGGCCAACTCACCTAAATCTCTCTTCCATTTTATCGCCTATTGGTGCCACACCTAAATTTTCAATGAATGTATTCATTTCGAATTCTATCCCTTCTTTGTCTTGCCACTCATCCATCTCAAATCCTCATCTCCTCTACACTCATTCTATGGGTTTCAGATTATGTAAGCTTCAAATACATACGTGCATTACCCCAAAAATATCTGACAAGGACGCAGCTCGACTGTTGTACAGCAGCTAAGCAAAGAATTCTTTGGACAATAGGATAAGGTTTATGTACCAAAGCAATTTCCATTTCACAACTAATACTTACAGGTGATTTCATGGTGTTCCAAACCTCAAATAAAATTTCCTTTTAGAAGATAGAGATCCGATCAAGAGAAAGAAAAGGAAGCCACAACAAACTGCTCTTAGGGCTGCATTTTAAACAAAAAGTTCTAATTTTTCTCATCTCAAAGAAAAGGTGATGACATCATAGACATGTTAGATGGGAGATTCCTGAGGACTTAACAAATGTATTAGTATGGAGGATAACATGTTCATTTAGGACCCATAGAAAATTATGATGGCCCAATAATTATCTTATCTCAATATGCTAATATCAGAAAGCCAAATTCATATTAGCAGTTAATCAAGTGTTCATCAATTTGCGTATTTTCTAAGCAACCCAAGTGTATAATTAATACCTATTTTTTCCCTCTTTGTGGTCAGTAATCCCTCAAAAGTTATAAAAAAGTGAACATTATTCCAACGTTAATTTCCTGATTTTTAGATTCTGCAACTTGTTCATTTAATGTGTGATGCAGCACTGCCACTAGCAACTATCATCAGCGTACCCCACTTTTATCTTTTTCTTTTCTTTTGATAAGTCAATCCTTGCCACATGTATGAAGAAAATGCAACTGATTATTCTCTTTTTAGAATCACAGACCATGAGAAGCAGCCACTCTTTCAAAGATAAAATACTTCACCACACAACGAGAATCTCTCAAAAAATTATGATTCTTAGATACTTACCTCTCCAAGTCATGGTCATACAAAACAGAGTTGTCACCACTGGTACGGTAGAGCGGTAGTCCCAGTCTTCCAATCAGAGGAGCCAACGGATTCTCTTTGCAAACACCATGCAACCTGAGAAACCAATATGTTACATACACACCAATATTAGTATATTTTTTTGATTGATGGTACCAAAGTAAACAAAATATAAGAACCACGCAGCATTAGTGCTTACCATGATGCTCCCATATCAACTGGGAAACCAAATGAGTGGTCAGTGTACACACGGCCACCAATTCTGTTTCTTGATTCCAGGACAACAACCTGAACATTATTAGGTTAATTAGGTTCAGAAAAAGAGAAGAGCGACCAATGTGATACTGAAAACTGGAAGAATTTTACTTCATAAGTAATATTACCAAAAAGAAACCTAGGGAAATTATTTGCTAGTCACCTGAAAAGAGGCATCATGAAGCACACGAGCAGCTGCAAGGCCTGCAAACCCACTGCCTATGACGATGGCAGAAGGAGATGAGGACTGACGTCTCCCAGTATTAGAATTGCAAGGCACTACAAAATAGAGAGGCCAAAGCTTGTTACAATTCAATCTCTAGAGAAGCTAGTTCGAGACTAGCAAAGGTACAATTGCACGAGAGCTTATGATATGCACCCAAGCAACTAAATATCTTCTCTCTTTGACCGTTGAAACTTAGAAATACCGCCACCATTGAATGAGAAAATATGTAGCATTGATGAATAATTGAATACCAAGTCCACTACATTTCACAGTTAAGCCATTCACCTCAATCTTAATTTGAAGATTTAATCATTGTTAAGACATGAATAAAATCTATGTCACAAGTTCATAGTTTTAGATTAGAAATAAAAGGAGCTAACACTATGATGGGTCTTGGACTAGCAAGTAGAAAAGTCAAGATATGTAACAGATAATCCATTCAGCTTAACCTAATTGAAAACTTAAGAAATTGCTTCTTCTTTACAACACACAGAAAGTTAATATGTCAACTTGAATTTGAATTTAATAACAGAATGAGTATCACATGGAAGAAAACCCAGCATTGATTTCATGGGTCCATTTTAGATTACTTCTTTTTTTATTCCAATGTGTAAATCCATATGAAATATTATAGCTTGTCACCGCATGTGCAATTACGTATCATCATTTATAAACATATATGAACTTGTGCATCTTAATCAGTAGTTCAAAAACTCATTCTGAGTCAAGTTGGCTCAGCCAATTGGGTGAATGAGTAAGTTTTATTGTGGAAAAACCCAGGTTTGGGCTAGTGTTATTGTGGAAAAACCCAGGTTTGGGCTAGTGTTTCAGTTTTTTAATTAAATATTTTTCAGTCTTTTAATTAAATATACTGAAATTTATACATAAAAGAATTGGCTTCAAGTTCAAATCTTAGGCAGGGTTAATGATAGACATTTTATTACAAAAACGTGGAACAGCACCAAGGTTACTATAGAGGTCAATGGGGAGGTATTAGCTAATGTTCGCCAACATCAAACAAAATGGAGTGGCTTTCTGAAATGCCACCCCCTAGATACAAAATAAAATATTTGGAAAGAGCCCTTGGATTCTTTCCATCTCTATTGTGATTTCCCCAACAAAGCACGGGAACTCTCATGTTAGGCATCCTAATGCAGAATCGCAGATTGCTTTTGAATGTTAACTTTGGACTTGGTGAGTATGGAACTCTAGGCGTCGTGTTGTGGCACTCGCCACCTTGACCGCCTAATTCTCAGAAAACGATGCCTTATTGTCGGAACAAAACCTTGTTTTCCAAAACAGAAGAACTTGTCAAGTTTCTTTTCTAAAATTGAAAACCTTAGGCGACTTTATTCTGTTTTGGCTCTGTCCAAGTCCAGGATTCATGTTAGCTTGGCTAGATGAATCATGTTTGGTTTAGGATTCATGATATGATGTTTCAAAGTTCTACGCTGGCTACCAACCTAACCAACCCACCTCCTTTATAGGGCTTGGGACAGGTTAAGGGAAAGTTTGAGTCATCATTCAAAAAGAATTATCTAAGACTCAGACATTGCAATGCACCATATCCAGTGTGCATAATTAATTATCATGCATATTTTATTCAAAAACATTGATGCATATCGCATTGTCATGGATGCACATGCGCAATTCAGTAAATAGTGCATAACTGCATATATTACAAAGAAGTATAACGAAAAAGGAACACAAAGTTGTGTTTCTTCCCCAAGAGGCAATCTGCAATGGCAGTCATCCACATTTAAATCTTAAATTTGTCCACACCAAATTACCTTTAAATCCTAAATTTGTCCGTACCAAATGAAAAAAACTTGTAGAAGGTCACACGCCTGATTGTATCTCAAAATTTTATAGCTCCAAAGAACATAAACAGATTTATCAAACTTGAAATACCCAATGAATCAAACATTTAACAAATAAAAAATTAAACTTTTTAAAACTCAAAAAAGAAAAAAGAAAAAAAATATATGATTTTTTTACTGCTTTAAAAAATGATTAAAAACTAGCATAGATTCATTAAATTTTTAACAATATGTTATTTACATATAATTATTAAAATCCTTTTTTTCATTTGTAGAATCTCATGATAAAAAATAAAAATAAAACCACCAAAAGCTAATGGCTATAGGATTTGCAAGCAATAGGCCAGATACTTTTTGACTCAGGTCCTTAAAACTTCATGATTTAGTCTCCAGTTCCATGCTTCCCTAACCATGTACTAATTAACTATTAAATTATTAAATAGTAAAATAATTAATTATACACAAAATAAAATAAGCTAAATAAAATAATGCACCATAAACTCCTTTTAGCTATAGTCATTTGCTATCAACTGCGAATAATAAAAAAAAAGCAGCTTACACAGAACTTAAGCATCAGATCCCAGTAGTTTGGAGCTATCCAACTCAAAGATCAAAAGTAAAAAAGGAACAATTTAATATTATTTCAAATTCAAAATACAGTTAAAATCAATCTCTACAAGCAATTAGTATTAAGATATGCAGTAAAAAAATTTTTTAAAAAAAAAGACAAACTACGAAAAACCCATATATATTTGAATTAAAAGGGATGATAATCTAAATCTCAACTTACTTCTCTTCAATTGAGCACTCTCACGTTTTCTGAACTCCATCTCTCCAGATATAACCGATGATTCAGTGGTTTTTCAAAATTAGAAGGTAATTGAGGGGAAAAATGGAGGATAAAAATCAAGAGACAGGTTATAATAAAATGTATCGAATTTGAAAAAAACCCTAGGTTAACGAACCAGTTCATACGTATGACCACACAGAGGACTTAGGGTTCCTGAAAAGGAGATTGAAATTCCCCTAGAAAATAGGGTCAAAATACAGGAAAAAAGCTATTTTCCGAGAGCTACAGCTAAGCTCCCTGCCATGGAAGAATCAGAGGAAAGAGAAGAAACCTATAAAAACCAGAAGAGAGATAATGAGAGGAGAGAACGAAGAGAGAACGAAGCGAGAATGAAGAGAGAAAACGAAGAGAGAGAAAGTGGAAGAGGAAGAAGCTTTTTCCCGTGTGGAGTGGGATTCGGGTTCTGAAAAATAGGAGGCATTTTATAGAGTTTCGGTTGTGAGAAAAGGACGAAAATACCCTTGTTCGTTTACGAACATATCGGTGAACTTCGCTGAGTTTTATTGGAAGCGCGTTTGTGGTAGTTAGGGTAGTTTTCATTTGTATGACCCCAACAATGAATAAAATATCAGGCCCATCCCTTGTTTGAGAAACCAGATCCGGTAAAATTATCCAAATTTAAGAAAAGTTTTGGCCAAACTAGGATGATAGAGGTGCGTCTTACTATCTAATATCTATACCTAGGGTGTGGCATTGGGCTGGTCATGGTCTACCTCATCGGCCCGCTAAATCGAAAAAAAAATCAAAATAAATTATAGACTAATGACAAATACCTAATTAATATGACAAAGATCTCGTTTCGTAGGTTCTCTACCTCCATTATAGTCTAGGGATTTGACAAAGATTTCACTGCAATTGGACAAAATACGGGCATGTGGAAGTTTTTAGATATTGTTGACGATAGATACGGGCATCTAGATCATAAGTTTTTTAGATGTCGTTGAAGATAAACAAAGTCAAATTGCTTGATCAAGTTGATTATTGGGAATAAGCCTTATATTATTTTCTTCTATCTCCAAGATTCATTGTGATTGTAATTTATATATAGAGGCACGTATTTGTATAATCTTTTATATTTTCTTCTATCTCCAAGTATAATCTTTTATTAATTTTTTCTATCTCCAAGATTCATGGAGATAATCTTTTATTATTTTTTTCTGTCTCCAAGATTCATTGTGATTGTCGTATGCATATAGAGGCACGTATTTGTATAATCTTTTATTGAAATAGTGAAGATGTATTATTTTTTTCTATCTCCAAGATTCATTGCGATTGTCGTATGTATATAGAAGCACGTATTTGTATAATCTTTTATTCAAATAGTGAAGATGTAGCTATTGGACGTAAGGTTTTAGCTTGAACCACGTAAATCTTGTGTTATATCTCTTCTTCTCTTCCTATAATCTTGTGTTATTTTTTTTCTTCTTGTGCTGATGCTCTCTCTTCTCTTCGTCTTATGCTGATGCTCTCTCGAACTTTAACATGCTCTCCCGAATTTCGAACTTTAATATATACTCTCTTAATCTTTTATTCAAATAGTGAAGATGTAGCTATTGGGTTTTGGATACTCTCTTAATCTTTTGTTCAAATAGTGAAAATGTAGCTTTTACGTGTTATATCTCTTCTTCTATTTCCATAATATCTTGTGTTATATCTCTTCTTCTATTTCCATAATATCTTGTGTTATATCTCTTCTTCTCTTTCCATAATCTTGTGTTATCTCTCTTCTTCCTGTAAAGATGTTCTCTCGAATTTTAAAATGCTCTCTCGAACTTTAACATGCTCTCTCGAATTTCGAATTTCGAACTTTAATATATGCTCTCTCAAACTTATGGCCCAAACTTCCGGCCCCAAGTATTATGCTGCTTAAAAAAGCCTCCCCTACGCATACTTGGTTTGCGTAAAAAAAAAAAAACCTCTGTGGGTCCCGTAAAAAAAAAAAACCTCTACCCTTTTGCCGCTCAAAAAAAACCTCCACCCTCCACCTACCTCCGCCCACCAAGTGTTGTACCGTGCAAAAGAAAACCTACTTCCGCCCACTTACCTGCGCAAAAGAAAACCTACTTCCGCCCATTTACCTCCGCCCCAAGTGTTGTGGGCGCAAAAGAAAACCTACCTCCCCTAAGCCCCAAGCCCCAAGTACCAAGTACCAAGTGTTGTACCGTGCAAAAGAAAACCTACTTCCACCCACTAACCTGCGCAAAAGAAAACCTACTTCCGCCCATTTACCTCCGCCCCAAGTGTAAGTGTTGTGGGGTGCAAAAGAAAACCTACCTCTGCCCTAAGCCCCTCAATCCCCAAGTCCCAAGTGTTGTGACGCGGAAAAGAAAACCTAAACCTCCGCCCCAAGTTTTGTGTGGCACAAAAGCAAACCTAACCTAAACCTTAACCTCCGCCACCTAAACCTCAACCTCTAACCTAAACACCTAACCTCAACCTCCCTCTGCCCCAAATGTTGGGGCGCGCAAAAGAAAACCTAACCTAAACCTCTGCCCCAAATGTTGTGGGCGCAAAAGAAACCTCCGACACTTGAGTGTTACCTCCGCCCAACCTCCGGCCCTCCGGACACTTGAGTGTTACCTCCGCCCAACCTCCGGCCCTCTAGACACTGGAGTGTTACCTCCGCCCAACCTCCGGCCCTCCGGCACTTAGTACTTGAGTGTTACCTCCGCCCAACCTTCGGCACTTGAGTGTTACCTCCGCCCGCCAAAAGAAAACCTCCGACAATTGAGTAGTCGCGCACCCTCCGGCACCGGCACTTGAGTGTTTTGCGTGGCAAAAGAAAACGTCCGGCACTCCGGCCGGCACTTAAGTTGTTGTGCACTTAGTGTTTTGGTTGGGCCTCCGATACTCTGGCCAAGTGTTGTGCCATGCAAAAGAAAACCTCTAACGTTGTGTCGTGCAACCTCCGGCACTTGAGTGTTTTGCGCGGCAAAAGAAAA